GGCGCAGGATGCTTACTGTAATCGCATCGCCTCTAATATCCTGTCACTGCTTTCCAACTTCAGGACTGCAAACAAGTTTCAGTTCACTGAGGAAGACTCTCCCCAGTACTGAGCTGCAGTCTAATGCAGCAGCCGCCAGCGGTGACGTGTTGGTTCAGCTGATCCGGAGAGCAGATACAAAACGTTACTAAGCTACAGTTCTGGATGTTTTATGATTTTCCTGCTAAACTCATTGAAATCACGTAATATTTGTTTTATTAAGTCGAGTTCAGAAATCCTGAATTCATCGAAGAAGAAATGAAATCTGTTTGTAGCTGATTTCATTCCATATAGCAGTCAGTCTCACAAGGCCTCTGACTGAAGACTGTTTCTGTATGACAGTCTCATGAATATCATAACATCCTAGCAGACAATATTTTACAGTCATCAGCTAACTCAGCTGATCCACCTCCTTTGCTTGTGCTGCTCCTTCCGAACCCTGAAAGCTGAGCAGAGGGATGCTGGAGTTGGGATGAGATCTCTGGTCTCTATAGAAACGGTTTGAACTTCCTCCGTCTCTCTGCTCTGAATCCAACTCCTCTGGGATGTGGGGTCAAAGGTCAGGTTTCACTTAGCTTTGAGGTGCTAATCTGCTGCTCCCATGTTGTTAAAGCCATGCCTTGTTGCCATGGTTACACAAAGTAAAGAAGTAAAAGTAAAAATCCTTCCAGTTTTTCCAGAACCAGAGGGAAACAGAAACGATTCAACTGGAAAACGATGAGCTAAAAGCGGCGTGCTGCCACCATGAGAGGCGTTTTCTAAATGTATGTTCAAAACATCCATCGTCATTTTATTTCCACGTTTAGGAAACTGCAGAGGCGTTGGAGCGTTTTTCTGTTTCACCAGCTGAACCCTGCAGCCTGCCCCCTGGAGGCGGCGGTGATCGCTGCGCCGTTCTTACCTCCAGAGCTCAGTGGTCGCAGTGGAAACAGCAGAAATGGTTTCAGTTCCTAAGCGATGAGTTCTGCTGCAGGCAGAGCGACGAGCGTCCAGAGAAACGTATGATGGCCAACAGGAAGTGAAGAGATGGATGGAGGAAGTCAGCTTACGCTCTGGGAGCTTCGCCTCCGTTCTTATCGCATCAGGCAGCCGAGGGAGCTCATGAACATCGGACCAAACTTTTAATGATCAGCTTGTTGTGACGTTGAGTCTGCAGCTGGCTAACGATCACAGACATGCTGGATCATCAGAGCGCCGCTGCAGAAATCCGCTTCAGCTTCCTGTGGGGCTCAGAGGAGCCGCGGCGTCGCCGGGTTCATAACGAGCTTCATCTGGGAAGCAGATCTGCTCTAATCAGATATTTGATTACTAGATGGGAGACTCAGACTGCAGAGATCTGGAAACTTGACCTACATTTGGTTTGGAAGTGAAGCTCTCAGAGGCTCTGCTCCGTTTTTAACGAGATCATCTGAGCGTCAGCAAAAAAAATCCATTAAAGAGCTTTAATGGACTCTCCTGGTTAAAACTTCATCATGTGACCGGAGCAGGAGGAAAACCGATAGCCAATAATAAACCAATAATTTATGGCAAATCATTTACAGATAAAGTTACAGATGAATGGAAACCCATTTGGAAGAACCATGGAAGAAAAACCCAGCAGGAATTAAAGTTTTGAGTTTTAAAGTCATAATTATGAGATTCAGAGAAGCAGCATGGCTTTCTGTCTCCTAATTACGACTGTGAAAGTTGAAATTATGACTTTTATTCTGGAAATTATGGTTTTAAAAATAGAAATGAAAGTAAATGTTTGAGTTCAATCTGCTGGGCTTTCAGAAACTTTTACACTCATTTGTTTCATCATAAATAAAACAGAAATGATGAACATCACTGAAGCTCCAGACCAGGAAACATTAACAGATAAGCAGATTTTATAATTTACTAAAATTATTAGTGGAGACATTTCCAATATTTAATATGCTTCAGATGCTTTAAGCAGCTCTGTTTTCATTTATTTGATAATTAATTTATTAAGTCTTGGTAAAACATCAGCCTCTCAGCAGGATGACATGCAGATTTAACACAAATTACAAAATGATCCAATTTCTTGCTCAATTCATAGAAAATCATCATTTTCAAGAGGATTTGAAGTAACCGTCTAATTCTAGCCAATTAAAGCGACGGCGTCTTTCAGACTCTCAGCCTGGACGGTCGGCTGTATTTGGGTTTGGATCCTGGGAACGAGCCGACCTGACAGGCGGCTCCTCTTAACGCAGCTTAAAGCAAACCGTTTGCAGATTGGCTGGAGCCGCTGCCAGTCGCCCTGAGCCAGTCAGCTCTCCGTCAGGGTCACTCTGTCACCCTCAGCTTTACAAAACTTCTACCAAAATAATCTGGAAGCATCTTGTTAATCTCCTGGATGAAATAAAAGCGGGCAGGATATTGTTGTTTGCTTGTTTTTCCTGGTTTAAATTGGATTTGCCGTTGAATGTGTCCAGGTGATACAAACTGACTCATTTGTTGACTGATTTGTTTTGGCCTCCGCTGCTTTTGCAGATAAGCACGTTGAACCAGATATGAAAATTCTTAATGGCTTTTTAATGTCTTTCTAATTTGCACTTTAAAGCGTTCTAATGGACTGCTGTTGTGTTTGCACAGAGGGAGAAACGGTGGATCGGTCTGCTAACGTTCAGGCAGGATTTGGTGTCTGCAGGAAGGGCCAGGGTTTCACCTGATGAGCAGATGTTTGGGTTCACGGCTGGTTAAACGTTTCAACACATTCAGCCACTTTTCATGTTGGGAAGGAATCTGATATGAATTTACTACAGGCAGGATTTGATTATAACACATTCCACTCCTGCAGAACTGATGCCAATTAAGGTTAAATATGCAGCAATTATTCTATAAAACATCATAAACCTCATGCTAAACCAGTCGTTTCTGAAAAGCATCATGGAGAATCAACTGGAAGTGGAACTGATGGCTTGCCGTACTTTTTACTAGCACTGACACGTTAAAGTATTAACTTTGATTAATTAACATGTTAAACAATTTTAATGCAATTATACATTTTCTGGCTCTGCCTCTATTTATGCACCCAGATTAAGTCGCATGACTGCGTTTGTGAAACGGGAAATATTTAAACGTTTAGACGTTTTCAGATCTATTAAAATAAAATTCATTTTATGACTTTCAAAGCAAGTGAGTAAACATCCTCATCAAAGGCTCCCTAAAATATTTAGACAGTTCTCCAGTTTTATGTCAGTTTAACTGCCGCTGCGTAAATAACCAGCTTGTCGTTATTGGCATCATGCAAAGATCTGCAGAGATGTTCCAGATGACGGGACGCTGGAGAGCCTGATTCATTCAGATGATGAAACCGTCGTGTAACAGTTACTGCTCAATAATGTAGTCAGAGATGAGAAGGAAACATATGGGGGTTAATAAGCTGAGAGCCGCCCTGCTACAGTAAAGATGAAACTCAGATCCTCTGTGTGTGTGTGTGTGTGTGTGTGTGTGTGTGTGTGTGTGTGTGTGTGTGTGTGTGTGTTTAAAGTAGAGCGATGTGGGACAGATAGAGTGTGTGATGTTTAGCATGTCGTCATTAACGGTGCATTTAACCTGACTGCATTCCTCTCCTGTTACAGTGAAACATTATTTGCAGGTTAACAGCAGTAATCATGGGAGGAGAGTGTGTGTGTGGTTGTGTGTGAGAGAGAGAGAGCGAGAGGGGAAAGGTGTGAGCAGAGGTTGATTGCGAAGCCATTTCCCAAGGCTTAGTCGAGCTCTGTTAGCTGAAGAGCTCAATTTCAAAGACAATTTCTCCACTGCTGAGCACTTTGGCAAAGAGCAGCTGTATGGAGAAGGAATTATGCAGCCTGGTGTGTGTGTGCGTTTGTTTCTAATACCTTGTGGGGACCATTTTCCTGACACGTACTACGTTGGGGGACCCGCTGCCCCTTGTGGGGACCGACGCCTGGACCACTGGGGGAACCCTGCGCTGTTTGTGATGCTAGCTCAGAGCTTTTTTAATCAGCGTGTAGCCGCCATTAGGGCTAAAACTAGCCGCCATTAGAGCTAAAGCTAGCCGTCAACAGGGCTAAAACTAGCCGCCATTAGAGCTAAAGCTAACCGCCATTAGAGCTAAAGCTAGCCGCCTTCAGGGCTAAAGCTAGCCGCAATCTGGGCTAAAGCTAGCCGCCATTAGGGCTAAAACTAGCCGCCATTAGAGCTAAAACTAGCCGCCATTAGAGCTAAAGCTAGCCGCCATCAGGGCTAAAACTAGCCGCCATCAGGGCTAAAACTAGCCGCCATTAGGGCTAAAGCTAGCCGCCATTAGAGCTAAAGCTAGCCGTCAACAGGGCTAAAACTAGCCGTTATTAGAGCTATAAAGCTAGCCTTAGCATTGGTCCAGGATGCTTGGCATTGTCTCTGTGTTGTTGAAACATTTCCAGCTAACCTTCCACCAGTTTTCTTCCTTCCTTGTTCATCTAGAACATGGTGAATGTTTCTGGTGTTGATTTGTCGTGTCTGAAACAGTTTGGAAATAAAACCACCTGATCGCATTTATCAGCTCAAACCCAGAGCTACAGTTAGCAGATGTATAATTAAGCATAAAAATCTAATAAGTGTTTTTTCTAGGATTGCATTGGTTATCAGAGCTTTACTTACCCTCTGGTTTTTATTATGGCCTTGTTTACATGACAGAAGCTTATTTACACCCGCTCAGTTCTAATTATATGAAGTAAACAATTCGAGGATTAATCTATTTTTATTGTTGAACTTTAATTATATATTTATATAAAACAAATGCAGTCGCTTCAGAACCCGTTTTATTTGACTCAACTCTTATTTTTAATTATATTTTTGAAGCAGTTGTAAATTCTCTTTTCTCTTTCAGGCAAATAGGAAATGTTTTCTTGCCTCAGCCGCTGTTTGTGCTTCTGCTCTCAAATATGAACTAAAACTGAGTCTCTTGCTGCTGTTCCAGTCACATTGTTTCTGTCCTCCTAACCTTTTTGCAGATATGCGGTTCTGAGCGACCCGGCGGCTTGGCTGAGTGTGAACCCGGTCAGAGGAACCGTCAACACCTCGGCCTCTCTGGACCGGGAGTCTCCATATGTCCATGCGAATAAATACACGGCTCTGTTCGTCGCCACAGACAACGGTGAGTTCCCTCCTTTCGGCGACAGGAAGTCGAGTCTGAAGCAAAATAAACAACAGGAAATGGATTCTAACGACGTGTTGGCATCGGTGCTGTTCGGTTTAACAGCTGTGGTTAACATACTGACCCAGAAACTCACCGTCCCTTTAATACCAGGCTAAAAAACAGATAAATGTGGATATTTTATTTAATCTCTTATTTCTTTTGAAAGTTTTACGGTTGCAATAAAGTTGTTTTTATTGGCATCATCCAGCCAGACGTTTCTGTTTTTCCTGCAAACAGAACCAAACATTAAACGCTGTGAAAAAATTTAAACCTCACCACAAATTTCAGCTGCTTCTGCTTTAAGATCTTTAAGAAACGCTTCATTTCAGACAAACAGAAGCTCAGTAAAGACTAAATACCCGAAATGCAGAGGAAGCATTGGTCTCTGCTTGGATCACTGAAGGTTTTATCAGAACTTTAAACTGGACCACAGATTTATTGGGTTTTTCACGTCCCAGTTCTTATCCTTTTACCTTCTCATAAGTAACTTTTCAGTGACATATTGGAGTTCGTTTTAAGTTAATAATGTCTTACTATTGATGAGAAAAGCATTTTTTTATTGCCAAAGGAAAATATGTCTTATAATAAGTGAAATAATCAAGCTCCTACGTCTTTGCTGAAAAGTTACTTGTAAGTTAATTTGTCTTATTTTAAGTGCACTAAAATATTTACACTGTAAACTAAACCAAAAATATTTGGTAAGATTTTGAGTTTTTGCAGTGTAGTCGACTTTTCACAGGTTGGTTGGATAAATTCTTTTTCCTCATTTAAAACCTGTTAGTTCGTACTCAGCTTATCTTAGTTTCCACATCACTGCTGTCCGGCTCACCTGTCTGTCCTCACCTTCGTCCTGCAGTGGCGCCGCGGCGGCCGTTGGTGGCGCTGTGTGTGTCGGCCCATCGGCGCTCTCTTTCATTTTTAGTTTCTTTCTGTCTCATCGTCGCTCCCCGCTCCGTCAATCCATCTGCTCTGCTGCTCTCAGGAGATCCTGACAGATCCATTAGAGGAACTGAGGGATTCTATTAGCAAGCAGCAGAATAGCGACGCTGTGCAGGGGAATTCAGCAGCCGTAGAAAGATGAGTGCTGAAGGAGGAGTAATGATGGGGCTGGAGGAGAAGGCGGGGAGAGGTGGAGGGGTCAGCACAGGAGAAAGGAAGGGACATGAGACGAGATAACAAGAAGAAGATAGAGAGCCAGGAGGACGGCGGCGGAGAGGGGGAAGAAAGACAAATGGAAAGTAGATCTAGCAGAGAGAGGAAGGACGACGAATGGACAGTTTGATGGTTTTCTTTTACTTTGTTAGCCGTAGCCTGATGGATAACCTGAAATTAAGTTCAAATTTATTCAAGAAAATCACAACTAATGTCATTTCAAAGCATCTTATCAGCTCATATCCACTAATGCAGTCAGTTAGTTACTGTTTAAAGTCAAATCAGCTTTTTTTGATTTCATGCTGAGTTATGCAGATTCACTCTGATTATTATCAACTCATGTTGTCCTGCTGGAGGCTGGAAGAGAGCAATCCAACATGGCTGCAAAATCTGAGGGAATAGTCAAAGTTTAATGTCTGGGAGAAACGGACAGATGGACAGACAGATGGACAGACAGACAGACAGATGGACAGACAGATGGACGGACAGACAGACAGATGGACGGACAGACAGATGGATGGACAGACAGACAGACAGATGGACAGACAGACAGACAGATGGACAGACAGACAGATGGACGGACAGACAGACAGATGGACAGACAGACAGATGGACAGACAGATGGACAGACGCTGCAGTGAACTGAGACATGAACCCAACGTGTCCAGAACATCAGCCATCAGTGTCACAGCAGGAGCTCAGACGTCTCTTTGCTCATGTTGTTCAGCAGCTTCTCCTTCTTTTCAGCCGCCCAGCAGAAACGCCTTTCAGTCCTCCAGCTGTGAGCTGAAACAGAACGAGCTTTGACCCGGCCCATTTCACTCCTGCAGTTTCTGTCATTGGCCTGAGAAATTGGCTCCGTCCCCACAGTAATCTCTGCTGTGATTGGATGACAGCTTCCCTATGTAGGCTGCTATCAGGGTATTGATTTCCTCTTACACCATCATCATCTTTATATTATGTGGAGTCTCTGGGGAGTTCCTGCTAAGAGCAGAGCTGTGCCAAACAAGCAGATCTGTATGAAGCTCTTTGGTCACAATAACATGAGAGGAAAAAATAAACTGCAGGGAAAGTCAGAATGTTGTTAAAGGAAGTCTAGTAAACACTTAACTTTATTAACATTTAAAATAATTCCTTCTATTCTGAAAGGAAAGTAAAAATAAAAAAGCAAAGAAAATTTATAATTTTAATTTTATTACTAGACTTGAACATGAGCGTCATAAAACCTGACTTGGACTTGGCCATTTAGTCAGTGTTAATGTCTGTGAGGTTTTGCTGTTGCATGATGCACTTCTGTCCTAGTCAAAGCCTTCCTCCATTCTGTGAAAGCATTGCTTCAAAGCAGTGGGACGTCATTCTGCACACAGTCACCTGATTATCAAAACAGATTCATAAAATGAGCTGCAAAAAGTCAAATTTGAAGTTGTTGCAGCTCATTTTGTTTTGAGTCTGAAAATCAATTTCCACATTCAGTTTAATAACTTAATGCGCAGCAAATAAATTACATACAGTAAAAGTGCATTTTTTTAATCTTGTTTCGTTTTCAAAAGTTTATAACTTTAAAAAGTTGTGCAAAATTTGCAACAATATTAATATTTTGGCTCGTCAGAAGAGATGAAATAATAATTTGCGTTGTTGAACCCAAAGCCCATCTCCTCCGTCTGCAGGCTTCTTCTTCTGCTGGGTTGAACAGCAGCCTGTTGATCAGCTGGAGCACTGCTGCCCCCTAGTGACTGGAGGCGTGTATGTTCAAGCTAATGCTGTTGAATCAGTAAAATAAGATTTAAATGACTTGTTTTGCTCAGTTTTTGTAGCTTATTTGTTTTTCGGTGACCTGTTAGCACAGCTTGGATGTGCTTTTAGAAATGTGTGTGTGAATGTGTGTATTTGCTGTGTGTTGGGGGTCTGAAAACCCTTCATCCATCTGTGTTTGCTCGCAGTGTGTGCCTCCACCCATCGAGTGTTTGTGAGTTAATGAGCAATAAGCCGCGCTGCCCTGTTTGCTTCAGGTTCTGCTCCAGCCTGAACCCAAAACCCAAAAGCTGCTTCTGTAAAGTCTGATCAGCAGCGAAGCTTCAGCGCCAAACGATCCTCTGCAGCTGCTGATTCCCTGCTGGGACGGCAGCTGGGCGCTCCTCTGCCTCCACCCTGTAAATCACTGTTTGTGATGTTGGTGGGGCGCTGTGTGTGTGTGTGTGTGTGTGTGTGTGTGTGGATGGATTGAAATTGTTTTGGGTTTTAATATCTTTGTGCCTCTCTGGCCGGCTCCTGTGTTTCCACACACTGCTGGGTGTTTTTGTTCTGTTTTCTCATTTAAATGTTAAACCGCCTTCTGGTGGGAGCCATTTGTCATTTGGAGACATGAATACATTATCAAGACCCCAGTTGTCTGAAATACACTTTCACATTATCCTCAGTGTCTGCTGCCACCAAACCTGCTATTAAACCTCTGAAGCCAGCGGCGGAGCGCTTCGCCTTCAGCTCAGAGGACAGACCTTCAGCTCGCCTCAGGAGTGAAGCGCTGTGTGTTTTTAAAGCGAAGCAGAGAGCCGTCCTCGTTAATTACTGCAGGTATTAAACAGACATTCAGGCAGAAGGCTGAACACGGTAATAAGTCCCAGGGTTCATCACAGTCACATCATCTGCTCTGATCCAGAAGCTCAAAGTAAAGCAGCTGAATGCTAATGGAGCCCAAACAAAGAGGAAGAGGCTTCAGCTGGAGGTGAGGGGAAGAGCAGAGGAAGGTCCTGATGGCGGCGCATCGCCTCCTGGAGAACGGAGGAGGACCTGCGCCTGGCCGGCAGTGGGACCAGTTCTGTTTGTGGGACCAGTTCTGTTAGTCTGCATGTCCGGCGGCTTTAATGGGCGGCGCCAGAGGGCAGGATGGGCGGCGCCAGAGGGCAGGATGGGCGGAGCCAGAGGGCATGATGGGCGGAGCCAGAGGGCATGATGGGCGGAGCCAGATGACAGGGTGGGCGGAGCCAGAGGACAGGATGGGCGGCGCCAGATGGCAGGATGGGCGGAGCCAGATGGCAGGATGGGCGGCGCCAGATGGCAGGATGGGCGGCGCCAGAGGGCAGGATGGGCGGAGCCAGAGGGCAGGATGGGCGGCGCCAGAGGGCAGGATGGGCGGAGCCAGAGGGCAGGATGGGCGGCGCCAGAGGGCAGGATGGGCGGAGCCAGAGTAATTCTGATATTTTGACCCAGACTAATGCCAGAGAAGCAGATCCAGAATATTCTGGACGTTTTGATCCAGAGACATGGATCTGGAGTCGGTGTGATATTTAACCCAGGTTAAAGGCAGAGCGGAGGATGAACTGGCAGTACATCGCAGCTCAGTGCAGTTCTTCCTTCCCGTTCCTCCTCGTCTCTCCACTGCGCCTCATTAACCCCAAACAGTCGCTGTTTCTCTCCCACTTTAGTGCTTTTGTTCTGACTCCCACACCTCTGCCTCTCTTCCTGGATGACTTTCTTTGCCTTTCATTTCTTGTAGCAGAATCTCTGGGGGAAGTCACCACCTTGTAAACAGGCTCACGTTGCGTTTTTGATTAAAGGATATCTTTGTTTAGCTCCACCAGGGAAGAAATGCCTCCCTCTCCCTCTTTGTTGTTGGCTTTATCAGCTCTCGCCTCTCTTGTGTCCTTGGAATACTGATTCATCCACGGATGAGGAGTCAGCGCTGTGCCTGGCACACCTAAACAAATATGCCTCTGCCCACTCACCCAGGGAACTTGTGTTTGAGTGTGGTGCTGCTAGGATACTTGTTATATAAAACACTGCTGCTGCTTGTGGTGAGGAGCTGAATG